AAGAGTTGGAACAGGTGGCTGTGGAAGGAGATGTCTGGACCTCCCTGCTCAAGCTGCTGCCCCCACGACCTGACTTCAGAATAAGCAGAAGATAATGGATGGATGGATTAATTCATCCTGAACTACTATACCACCAGCAAACTTTGTGCTGAAATTGTTCATAACTGAGAGGAAACTTTAAAGGATTTAAAAGAAAGAAAAACAAAAAAAATATTTTTAAAATGTTTAGTCATTCTAAGAGTGTTCTATCTCTGTAATATGAAATGTTGATGTGGATGTTCTTGACACCTATTAGTGTTTTTTATTTTGACAGAACAATCATCTTAATAACGTCACAGCATGACTAATGTTGGGCCTAGTTGGAAACAGAAAATTCCAAGAATCTGTACAAATTTTCACTTGAATACCATTGAAAATATATTTTAATGTTTTGTTATAAGAATGGGAAGAGAGAAAAACATAGAAATTAAAAAAAATCTGTTTAAAAACCATCTACATAAAAACAGCTCCATTTGAAAAAGCAGAGTTTTTATTTTCTTTTTTCGTAACCACAGACCACCGAGCTAAGAGCTGCCATCTAGGGCATCATGGGGATCAGATGGTGGGGGGTTAAAGGCCTTGCTCAAGGGCCCAGATTTGAGGCAAATGAGGGTGGAGACAGGTGTGGATGCTTCACCTATCCCACCCACATTTTGATGTTGTTGGTACTGGGAGTTGAGCAGGCGATCTTCCGATCACAGGCACACCTTCTCTAACATCTGCACCCCCACTCTTGAAGAAGCATTTTTTTAAATGTTATTACATCTGTCAGTTTCAGTTCACACAATTATATTCCAGCAGTGCCACTAGAAGTTACAGCTGGCTGCTGCTGCTAAGTTTGCAACAAACCTGAGCATTTTATGTAAATGTGAAACTGACGTTGGTGTAAAGATATAAAAAATAAACTTTGCATGAACTGTTATAGATTTTTAAAAACTCATGAATCTCTCAGTGTCTCGTTTCTCCAAACTGAGGCCATTCAAAGAGCCATCTACAGCATGTAAGATAATGATTCTTCATAAGTTTCCCTCAGAACTCCACTTCAGTAGATTCAAAACATATTTTTAATGTCCTGATGCATGCTCAATAATTCAGGTATCCAAAAAAGTTCAATCTGGTCCTCTGGACATTCAAAAAAAAATATATATATAGAGAAACGTTTTGTCTGTCATCCAAGAGACTTCCTCAGTCTGAGGTGCTATTTTCAGCTCAGTCTCTTAAATAGCACCTTCTCAGAGTGGATCGACCTGGATTATTGAGCATGCATCAGGATATTTTGAATAATTCAGGTAGAAAAATCTAACAAAGTTCAATCTGGTCCTCTGGACATTCAAAAAAAAAAAACAAAAAACAAAACAAAAATATAGAAATGTTTCGTCTTTCATCCAAGAGACTTCCTCAGTCTGAGGAGCTGTATTCAGCTCAGTCTCTTAAATAGCACCTTCTCAGAGTGGATCAACCAGTTTTGCTGCTGACAACCAAAACCAGCTGATCACATGCTCAAGAAGGACCATCAGCCTAACAATGGATCATTAGCACACTGATGGCTGTTTACTGTTCACAGAGGGCTGAGTGATACCAGCAATCACAGCATTGTAAGAGGGGGACAGTTGAACCCGGAGGCCTCCACCCCTGTTTAATGATGGATGGTTTCTTTTCACAAAGATGGCCTCCTTTACTCCTCTCTCAAACCATCGTTCCTCTCTGTCCAGGATGTGAACATCTTCATCCTTGAAAGAGTGACCGCTGGCCTGGAGATGAGTGTAGACCGCAGAATCCTGGCCTAATGATGTTGATCTTCTGTGCTGGGCCATCCTTTTGGCCAGTGGCTGTTTAGTTTCCCCGATGTAAGACTGATCACAGCCCTCCTGACACTGAACAGCATACACAACATTACTCTGTTTGTGCTGGGAGACTGGATCTTTGGGATGAACCAGTCTTTGCCGTAATGTATTTTGGGGTTTAAAAGCCACTGGGACGTTATGTTTAGAAAATAAACGTCTCAGTTTCTCTGATACTCCCTCAACATATGGAATGACCACTGGTCTGGGTCTGGGTTCCTCCTTTTCACCTGTTGGCTGACTGGAGTCCTGTTTGGGTTTCTTCTCTGCTTTCAGGAAGGCCCAGTTAGGATATCCACATTGCTCTAGAGCCTGTCTTGTGTGGGATTTCTCCTTCTGCCTGGCTCTAAGATCAACATCATCAGGCCAGGACTCTGCGGTCTACACTCATCTCCAGGCCAGCGGTCACTCTTTCAGGGATGAAGATGTTCACATCCTGGATAGAGAGGAACGATGGTTTGAGAGAGGAGTAAAGGAGGCCATCTTTGTGAAAAGAAACCGCCCATCATTAAACAGGGGGGAAGGCCTCCGGGTTCAATTGTCCCCCTCTTACAATGCTGTGATTGCTAGTATCACTCAACAACCTGTGAACAGTAAACAGCCATCAGTGTGCTAATGATCCATTGTTAGGCTGAAGGTCCTTCTTGAGCATGTGATCAGCTGGTTTTGGTTGTCAGCAACAAACTGGTTGATCCACTCTGAGAAGGTGCTATTTAAGAGACTGAGCTGAATACAGCACCTCAGACTGAAGAAGTCTTTCATATGAAAGATGAAACGTTTCAAGTTCAAGTATCTTTATTATCCCCAAGGGGCAATTAGTTTCACAGTCAGTAGATGTGTACATATACATTATACACACACACATGCACATATACACATGCGTATATACACAAGACATTATGACATTAAAGTAACAGTATTGAAATTAGTGTTCATTGAGAAACCTGATTGCTACGGGAATGAATGAGTTTTTCAATCTGTCTGTTCTACATCTTGGTTGCAGAAACCTGCGTCCAGATGGAAGCAACCTGAACTCACCATGGAGTGGTGATCAGGATCTGCCAGAATCTGCCTGGCCTTATTCACTGACCTCACCTTGTGTAGGTCAGTGAGGTTCTGTAGGGCTATGCCAGCAGTTTTGCTGCAACATCCTGACAATCCTCGAGAGTTTGCTCCTGTTTTTACATGTCAAAAGTCCAAACCAACAGATGAAGGTAAAGGTTAAAATAGACTCAATAAAACATGAATAAAACATTCTCATAAAAGTTGAATCAACAATAAAACCACAAAGCTTCCGATAAAAATACATCCTTTGGTGGGCTTTTTTACAAAGGGAGTTCACATGGAGGTCAAAGGTCAGTTTATCATCAAGAACAGTTCCTAGGTATTTATATAGTTGCACCATCTCCACAGCTTCACCGTTAATGACCACGGGAGCTGCAACTGAAGATTTTTTTCTGAAATCAATGACCATCTCCTTTGTCTTAGAAACATTTAGATTTAAAAAGGAAGACTCACACCATTCCGTGACGTCCCCGACCACAGGCCCAGGGTCTGAGTCCTCACTGCTCAGAAGGGACAGGATGACAGAGTCATCAGCAAACTTTACAATGTGACGCTGAGGGAAATGGCTGCGACAATCGTTTGTGTATAAAATAAATAAAAGAGGCGAAAGAACACAGCCCTGAGGGGAACCAGTAGACAGAAGGACATCAGAGAGGACCCCATTAACCCTCACCCGCAGAGACCGAACAGTTAAAAAGCCCACAAGCCAAGATATGAGGCCAGAGTCAAGACGATACAGACATTGTAATTTCTCTGCTAAAATGTGGGGCTGAATACAGTTAAAGCAGATGAAAAGTCAATAAAAAGCAATCTTACAAAGGTTTTTATACCTTCAAGGTGTCCTAAAACTATATTTAAAAGAGTTTCTGTTGCGTCTTCCACTCCTCTATGTGAACGATAAGCAAATTGAACTGGGTCCAAATGATCTTCAACTTTTGACAAGAGGGTCTCCCGAACCAGTTTTTCAAATGACTTCATAACTAAAGAAGTCAGGGCAACAGGCCTGAAGTTGTTCAGGGACTGAGCAGTCTTGGTTTTTGGTATTGGAACAATGACAGAGTCTTTCCAGAGCTGTGGGACCGTACAGGTTTGGAGAGACATGTTAAAAAGAAAACAGAAAATATCAGCAAGCTGCAGGGCACAGTTCTTAAGAATACGACTCCCTATGTTTCTACATTTTGTTGTTGTTTTGTTTTGTTTTGTTTTTTGAATGTCCAGAGGACCAGATTTAACTTTTTTTAGATTTTTCTACATGGATTATTGAGCATGCATCAGGACATATAAAAATATGTTTTGGATCTACTGAAGTGGAGTTCTGAGGAAAACTTAAATAAAATAAAAAATAAAACAGAATTTTTTTTTTATTTTACTGAAGGAAAATAAAGGACAGAGCTTTGTCACTTCAGCACAGACAGAACTTTTCTGAATGATTCCTCAGAGAGGAGCCACGTTGAGGGAAGTCTGATCCATCTTCAATAATCCAGGTACTTAATCTAACAAGGTCCTCTGGACGGATTCTTCCTGCAGAAACGTTTCGTCTTTTATCCGAAAGACTTCTTCAACAATGAAGGATTCGTCCAGAGAATCTGACTCAACCTTGTTCCATGTTGAGGGTAGTCTGAGGTCAGGATTAGTGACCTACAGCCAGGTGCAGCCACAGCTTAGTACTGTCTGAAGGTAAGTCCATTACTCCACAGGTCTTATGGAGTGTCAGATGCGTTTGTTAAAGCCAAATGTCTCCAACTCTTCTTCCACCACCTGTTTAAAGCCACAGGTGTGTCCCCCGCCATCAATCAAAGGTATCAGAGGAGGAGGAGACAGAGTATAATCCTGTGTAGTGGTAAGACACAGACCCCCCATCAGCTCCTTATTCATCTCCCCACATTGGCTGCGTGGAGCAGTCATTGATCCCGCGTCCTGGTCGTCACGCAGAACACAAGTTTAGCTGATTTAGCTCTCGTGCCGTGTGGTGGGCTGATTGGAGGTGAGCAGAGGGGGGGCTGCCAGCAGAGGGGGGGTGCCAGCAGAGGGGGGGTGCCACAGTGCGCTCCAGACGCGCAGCAACATGACAGAGGAGGAGAGCGGTGCGCACTGACAGACTCTCCGAGAGTTCGGGGATGGTTCCGGGGTTCGGATGTGAGCTCAGCTCGTGGTAGGATGGCCGCTCCTCTGGCTCTGATGACCGAGGCATGGCAGCGTTTCACCCCCACCAGCACCAGCGCCTCCACCCTCCGAGCGCGGAGCTGCGGCGGCTCTTCCACCGCCTCACCATCGCCTCCTCTCTGAGCATCCTCTGCTTCTCTCTGGTCTATCTCTTCGCCGGATGCTGCGAGTCGGAGCTCGCGGACAACTCGGACGCCTCCACGCGCGCTCTTCTGGCGGCCGGGTCGGGATGGCCGTACGAGAGGAACGGGACGCGCGCGGCTGGAGAGGCTGGACATCCCGGACTGGAGGGCAACAGCTCGGGGAAGGAGTGGACGGCCACGCGCAGGCTGCCGCAGGCTCTGATTATTGGGGTTAAAAAGGGGGGCACCCGGGCTCTGCTGGAGTTCCTGAGGCTCCATCCGGATATCCGGGCCCTGGGCTCCGAGCCGCACTTCTTTGATCGGCATTACGCACGAGGTCTGGACTGGTACAGGTACGCGCACACAGAGGATCCAACTCAAGAACCAGAGAATCTAACACTAAGTTCTTACAAGGGATTTCTATTTGATTTTATGCGTTTTAAACTTTTTATTACTTCAATAATTTAAACTTCCTGAAGCTCAAACAACTTTTTTTTCCCAAACTCCAGAATCATTCCTTCTGTAACAAAATGCAACTTTTTACATAAACTGTATAATAAGCTAAAGTGAACCAAGATAAAAACAGGTTAAAGCTGCTGGGTCACCATGGTAACCACATACCGGCATCTCTAACTCTGCATCACAGCAGGCAGATACACAGAGTAGAAATTAAGTGTCAAATTAAGTGATTGTGCAAAACTATCATTCAAATAATAATAATAAAAATTCTAAAGTTCAAGTGAAGCAGCTCATTTAGATGCAATTTTTTTTCCTTTTTATTAGTGTTTATCAGTCTTGGTGATGGTCATGGAGCAGCGATAGGACTTCTGACTTGGGACTAGAAAGCATGAGTCCCCGTCATGCCCATATGCCGTGGTGACTTTGAGCAAGACTACCTGGTTCCCGGGCAGGTTGCATAGCTGCCCGCTGCTCCACTGGGCCATGAACTCACGTGTGATGGGTTAAATGTGGAACAAACACTGGTCCCTGTTCAGTTTCAGTTTGTCACCTTCTTTTTTCCTCGGTTATCCTTGGCCTCACCTGTCCCACAGCTGCAGCCACTCAGCAATCACTCCCCCACTTTTATACTTCTGGTTCTCTTGGTTGTTCTTGGTTTCCAGCGCGTGTTCACCTGGTTTACGTCATGTCACCTTTCCATGTGGCATGAATGAAAAGCTTGTTTTCATTTTGTCATCCTTTGCTGCCTCTTTCATGATCCCTGTCTTTCATGTTATTGTTCATTTAGTTGTTATTCTTGTATTTGGGTTTTACTTGTTTCAGTTTACAGTGTTTCCCCCTCATGTAGCCCCTCCCACTCTCACCTGACCCTCATCATATCTCCCCAGGTGTTATCATTTCACTCATTAATTTCCTTTTAAAGCTCGAGTCTTTTACTCGTGTCCGTGCTGTGCACCTTTCATCATGTTCCTTCAAGCACTTCTTGTATTTTTTCTTGTATGTTTTGCTGCCTCTACAGACCTTTTTTTTTGTTTTCTCTTGTTTAATAAATTAGTTCATTTATTTTTACTTTCAAATCCTCACAAGTTTTTAGCTTTGAACTTTGTTCGCCATTTGCAACCAAACATGACAGCCTCATCAACTCTGAAGTCCTAATTTCTTCATTATAGGAGATTCACCTGAGTTTTAGAGATTGCACCTTTAGTCCTCATGATCACAACACAACTGTGTTTTATAGGAGGTATGACAAGTTTTAAAGAGGCTTCATGTCCAGTTTGGAGGAATACATTTGGAGCTCAGACACAGTGGCAGTCAGTGGGAGTTTGGGTGTGCAGACTCTGTGGGGATTTGGGAGAAAACTCAGTTCCAAAAAAGTCTGAAACACACTGAGTGAAAGAAGACTAAAACCCCATGTTTAGATGAAAAAATGCACAAGAAAAAGGTATTTGCAACAAGTTTAGACTGCTCACTTGAGACATACATGCTGAACATTTAAAGTTCATAAAAAAAATTAAACTGCGTTTGCGTAAATGCCATTAAAGTGAACAAAATACCGGTTAAATCATGGAAAATCCAACTTTCTGCACGCATTTGAACTGTCTTTTTTCACTATTAAGCTGCATGTTGCAATAAAATACAGTGGTGCTTGAAAGTTTGTGAACTCTTTATAATTGACTATATTTCTGCATAAATATGACCTAAAACATCAGATTTTCCACACAAGTCCTAAAAGTAGATAAAAAGAAAACCAAATGAGAAAAAAATTATACTTGGTTATAACGCAGAGTTTTCTTAGACTAAGCTAGGAAAAGTGCACACCCAAACACAACCAGAGTTATTTTATTGGGGTTTAGGTGACAGAGAGTGTCTGCCATCTGGCTTTTCCAATCTGTGCATCAGTACATGTGCGCCTGCAGCGCTCTGTGTGTGCGTGTTATCGGTACACGAGCGGCTGCAGCGTTGTCTGTGTGTTTGTTCAGTATTGGAGGGATAGAAAGACAGAGCAAGGCCTGCAGGATGAGTTCTCCGAGTGTAATCGTCTTTGGATCTGGAGCCAGATGTTACTGTTGTCCTGTGTCTCTCCTACCAGCCTGCTCTGCAAAAACTTTCAAATCTTCAATGGGCAGACTGGGAGGAAGCTAAAAGGAACCAGTCCCGACTGATGTCACTCAGATCTGGTTGGGAATCAACCGGATCTGGAAGAAACAAATCCTCAGGTTCTTGGGCTTTAGAGAGCTTTTTTGAACAATGTCATATTCAGGCGCAGTAAAACCTCTGTGATAGCACATCATATAATGAGCATATTAGTGACCATGACTCAACTCTGGGAGCATTTAAGTAACATGTTATGAAAGACAGAAGGAGCCAGCAGTGATCTGCTTCCATCTGCAGTGATTTCATGTAGATTTGACCGTGAAGAGACAAAACAAACAGAAAACAAACACTAATCCACCAAAGCTGTGCTGAAAATCTCAAGATACACTCAAGTCTTGGAGAGACTGTAGCCTTGCTGCCTGCTGTAACTGTGTTTGTGTGTGTGAGACACCAGGTGATGTGCATGTGACTCGATGTGTGTGACGGCAGATTGTCCATCTTTTCCTCGGGCCAGATGGGCCTTCTTGTGTGTTGAACCACTTGACATCACTGTCACTTGTATCCATTGACCCCTGACACCGGGTCACTTTGTGCTGGGAGTTAATGAGGTGTTCTCACCACTTCATCAGAAACAGACACACACCCAGAACACACACCCAGAACATACACCCAGAACATACACCCAGAACACACACACTGACAAAGAACATGTGTCTTTGTTTCGATGTTCAAACAACAAAAGTTGCCAGATTAATATCAGATTAAAAAATGTAAACATAATAATCACTTTGGAGCTTTGTTGGTGTAGTTAGGATCAGACAGTTCACACTTCTTTGTTTTAATCAATTTTTGCATCACATTACCAAATAAAAAATAAAACAACGAAAGGCAAGAAATCCCAGACAGAAATCACTGAGAATACAAATAATTTAACAGTTTCTGATCAATCCAGGTCCTGTGAGCAATTATTAAACATTTCTCAACTTTTGTGAATATTGAATATTTCTTCTCAGACACAGCTCAGTACAATTACTGAAAATAAAATGTCTTTATTTTCTTGTAAATTCAATTTTAGACCGCATGATGATCAAAAATGTTCACACCAACATGAAAACTTCCTCTACTGCTCTCAGACACAAAACTAACGAGCGGCACGCTGATGTTGCCAATTCTGAGGGGTTTGAACAGTGAATGTAAACCTTAATGTTTTTCTATCCATCCATCCATCCATCCATCCATCCATCCATCCATCCATCCATCCATCCATCCATCCATCCATCCAGTATCTTCCTCTTGTTCCAAAGTTGGGTCTTGGGGGCAGCATCTTGAGCAGGGAGGTCCAGCCATCTCTTTCCACAGTCACCTCTTCCAGCTCTTCTGGGAGGACTCCAAGGCATTCACTAACCGAGACGTAGTCCCTCCAGCGTGTCCTGGGTATTCCCCGAGGTCTCTTCCCAGTCAGACATGCCCAAAGCACCTCCTGAGGGAGGCACCCAGGAAGCATCCTTCCCAGATACTCGACCCAACTCAACTGGCTGCTTTCGATGTGGAGGAGCAGCGGTTCTACTCTGAGTCTTTCCTAATAACTGAACTTCTCACCCTATTTCTAAGGGAGAGTCCAGCTACCCTGCAGAGGAAACTCATTTTAACCACTTGTATCCACAATCTCATTCTTTCGGTCACTACCCAGAGCTCATGACCATAGGTGAGGTTAGGAACATAGAATGATCGATAAACAGAGAGCTTTGACTTACAGCTCAGCTTCCTCTTCTCCACAACAGACTGGTACAGAATCCATAATACTGCAGATGCTGCACCAATCTGTCTGTCAGTCTCACCTCCATTCTTCCCTCTCTCGTGAACAAAACTCCAAGATACTTGAACTCCTCCACTTGAGGCAGAACCTCACCCGTAATGTTTTTCATGCAAGATATTCAAGTGGGGTAGCACAGTGGCACAACTGGTAGAGCTGTTGCCTCTCAACGAGAAGGTCGTTGGTTCAAGTCCTGGTCCAGTGGCCTTTCTAGGTGGAGTTTGCATGTTCTCTCCATGCATGCGTGGGTTTTTTCCGGGTACTCCGGTTTCCTCCCATAGACCAAAAACATGTATGTTAGGCTGATTGGTAACTCTAAATTGTTCCTAGATGTGAGTGAGAGAGTTAATGGTTGTTTGTCTCTATGTGTCCCTGTGATGGACTTGCGACCTGTCCAGGGTGTACCTCGCCCCTCGCACAGTGATTGCTGAACATGGGCACCGGCGACCCCAATGACCCAAAATGGAAGAAGCGGGTAAAAGTTAATGGATGGATGGATATTCAAGTGGGTAATAGAGTTACACTGTGTAGAACAGAGGGAGTATTTTTGTTGTTGCTTGTCTAAGGTAGCACAGAGTGATGGATCCTGGCAATTGAAGGGAGCAAATTTATCCGCCACAGGAGCAGTGGCAGAGCCAGGGGGTGGCCAATGGTTGCCTTGGCCACCATAGATTTATCTTGAGGAAACAATACTTTTAAGCAATATCAAAACTAGAAAGCTTCATTTTGTCAAATGATATTAGTGGTTTTCTTAAATATATGGTGGCAACCATCTTGGAATTTTGACTTGGCAACCCAATTTTCAATAGTGGTATTTCTGACCCCTAGATGGAGCCACACACGAAAATGGAAGTTGATAACTGTATTCATTGGTCAAATGGTCATCATTAACTTCACATAGACTCTCACACTGGTACATTTTCATCTTTAAATCATTCCTTGGTCTGCTGCCTTCATACAGCTCCTCCTAAATGTCACATCGTCAAT